CCCCCGGGCACCCCCGGCCCCCTCCCCGCGCGTAGGGGGCGCAGGGGGTCCCCCCTCCCCTGCGGGCACCCCCGGGGCACCGAGCCCCGCTCCAGCCCGGGGCTCACCGGCTTCCAGCAGGGCGCAGAGGGCGAGCGCCAGCAGCACGGCGGGGTGGCTGCCCATGACCGCGGCTCAGCGCTGGCGGCTTCGGGGCTTCTCCTGGGCTTTTCCTCCTTTTCCTCCCGTGCCAGCTCTTCCAGCGGAGCCGCCGCGCTGCGTCTGGAGCCGGCGGGCGCCCGGCAGGTGCTTTATAGCCCCGGCCCGGCGCGTCACCCGCTCCGCCCCCGGGGAACGCCGGGCTCGCGTGGGGCGGGCGCGGACCCCCCGCTCCTCCCTGCAGGACTCCTCGCGTTCCTCTGCCTGGGGAGCTCCGGGGAGAAAGTGCCAGGGAGTGGGAAAAGTCCCCGGGGCCGGGATGCGGTGAGGCGGGACCGTGTGCGGAGTGTGTCCCGAGCGGGGCTGGGGATGCGGGTGAGGCAGCGAGCACAGCGGGGTCTGCAGGCAGTGTCCTCCTGGGAGCCCCCCGCACCTCCCCAGGCCCCGGGGATGCTTTAAACTGCACAAACTGGGCAGGATTCAAGATCAAAGTCAGGTTTTCACTTGAAATGTCTTAATTTGTCTTGCTTTGTTTTAATAAAAATGTAAATTGATAAGCTCCCTTGAAATTGCTGCTCAGTTGGTGCAATGACAGTCTTGGCTATCTCTCTCTCTCCTCTATTTTTTTCCTCTAAATCAACTTTAAGGCTTTTGCTATGTTGAGCAATTAAAGTTTCTTGCAATAAATCTGCCCGTGCACCATCTAATTTCACTTCGGCATCCATGTGGCACATTCGGCATTATCTGGACATTTTTAGGATGCGAATCATGTGAAGCAGAGTCACCTCCTGGCATGCACCAGGAGGAGTCAAAGCCTTTCACCTTGCCCGTGGTGTGTCAGGCAGAAGCAGGAAATTCCTCCGGGGAAGTGTTGGGTCCTGAGCATGCCAGGGATGGATCACAGCTTCCAGGCACCCTGAATTCCTTGGGACCACCAGATCCAGATTGGAATGGCAGCTCCAGGCATGGCAAACCTCGGGCAAATCCTGTGAGCGGTTTAGAAAAGCGAAATCACGGCATTTGCCTTTTGCAAGAGGTTCTCTAAAGCTTCTTGGGAAAGGGAGTGTATTTTATTTGTTTACCATGCGCAGTTCAGCTTTTATGGCCCTGTTGTCATGGGCAAGGTGGTGGCAATTGCAGCCACAGTGAGGTCTCATGCACAGGAACACGTGCGTGTGGGAAAGGAAAGGGAAATAAGGAAAAGTGCAGGGAGGGAGAGTGAGGAAAACGGCTCCTGAGCTGGACCTTCTGCTCACAGCAGCTCATGGAAGTAATACAGGTGATGATTGCACTCCTGCAGGAAAAGTCTGGAGGATTTGACATTCCCTCGGTCCAAGCAGCAGTGGGAATTCCTCTCTGTGCTCATGCAAAATGCACACAGGGGGTGTGTGCAGGAAAAAACAGCGGGAGCAAAGAAACTGCACAGGGGAGCACAGAGAGCATGAAGTGAGGGGGCATGGAGGCCAGAGGGGATGAAAAATGTATGTGTGGGCATGCCATGGAAATAACAGAGTAGGGGATGTGTCAGGCAGAGAAAATCAGGAAGAGTGCAAATGATAAATTAATAAGAAAATAAAGACAGAGATCATAAAACAAAGCAAACAGAGGGAAGTGTTTAACCTCTGTCCCAATGCAACAATTATTCTAAAGAAAACAGGGAAACACAAAAGCAGCATTACCTGTTACTGCCCATATTCCAGCTGTGCCAAGTTTCAGAGTTATGTCAGAGTTCTGTGTGACATTCCAGATGCCAGCCCAGTGATACAATAAATCTGCCTTGGCTCCCGTTCCTGCGCTCCTCATCCTGGTCACTGCGGGCTGAAAGACGATCCCCTCGACGTGGGGAAGGCAACGCAGCCGTGTTTGCTCACCCCGAGGGAAGGCTGGCCAGTAAATGACATCATTTAATACAAAAAAGGGCGCTGTCTTTGAAGGGGTGCTGCCGGAGAGGGCTGGGACGGAGCCGCGGCGCTGCCACTCGGCGGGGTCGGTTTGCTGAAGGGATCAGCCCTGTCACACCCAGAGCTCGTGCCTCGGGCAAGGAACCACAGCCTCAAGCCAACCCCAGATTCTGGGCATCTGGGTTCAAGGAATTTCCTCCACCTTTTGTGGCCGGGGCTCTGTCACCCAGCTCACATTTCCAAGGAGCACCTGGAGCTCCACGTACCTGTCTGCAATCTGCCTGTGGCTGGAAGTGCCCAGATTGCTGCTGTCTGCCTGTCATGCCAGGTGCAAAAACATCTTCACAAACCAGGCCTTTCATCCAAGGATTTCTCAATTGTTGTCTTCATTTCCCATAAATCCCACCAGATTGAAAATGGAGCAAATGTTACACCCTCGTGCTCGTCCGTCTCATTGAAAGGGAGCCTGAATTCCTGGTTTTTCTCCAGGAAAAGCCCTCCTGTGCTGAGCAGGCATCAACCTGAGCTGCACACCTTGGGATATTTGGCACCAGAGCTTCAAAAATCCCAAATGATGTGGGGCTAGGGATGAATGCCTCTGGTTCTTGCAGGGAACCCTGCAGAGATGAGGTGGGGTTGGCTCTGAACTGGCTTTGAACTGGCCCAGCTCTGAGAGCTTTTTCCAGAGCTAAAGAGCTCCCATGGAAAAAACATACTTTATAAAGATGTTTTGCCTTTAGAGCTTGTGAGGGAGAATGCCCAGACAGAAGGTGAAGCAGCTGCTTCAACACCAAACACATCCCACGGAGCGAGGGGGGACTCAATGAGCTTGGAGGTCTTTTCCAACTGTAGTGATTCCATGGTTCAGTGATTATTCTGGTGTTTGTGGTGGTTCCAAGAGGACCTGCTTGGTTTACGTTGAGTCATGGAACATCCTGAGCTGGAGGGAACCCACAAGAACCATCCAGCCCTGCTGCGACCCTGCCCCGCTGCTCCTTCTGCAGCCCCTCCAGACCCTTGGCCATCTTTAGGCACACCTTTAGATCTCATATTGTGGTGCCCCAAACCCACAGATGTTGGGTCCCCTCATGCTGTGTGCTGGGGGACCAGCCCACACTGGAGCTGTGGCTCTCCTTGACCCCCAGAGCACGAAGAACCTGCACAGCTCCTGCCACTGTCCTCGCTGTTCCTCTGATAAGGATCAGGAGCCAGCTTCCCAAGGCCAACCCTCCTGGCACTATCACCACACTAAAATCACAAAGAAAAACAACAGGGCTGGAGGAGGGCCGGGCCGTGCTGCACAAACACGGCTCCCAAAGAAGGAACAAAGGCGTGCACGAGGTCCTGAACGCCAAAGATGGGCTTTGCCTCCTGCAGTTATTTTTTCCCTTTTGTTTCTGACTGCGGGAGTACATTGTTCATGTCACTGTGAGGAGTTCCAGGCAGACATGACGAAAGGGACAAAGCAGCCCAGGACAGGAGACATCCCGTGCGGCCCTCGCGAGCGAGCGGCACTGTTTGGAAACAAGGAGTGAGCAAACAGGAAAGGCCTTTAACCATTGAGCAGTTGGGATCCCAGCGTGCTCTTGGCACCAGCAGGAACAATGGGGTGATGTCACAAGCTAGAATTCCCCGTGGTGGATGGCAGCCCAGCAAATAATCATCATTCTTGTCCCGGGACATGAGCAACATTTTTCCACCGTTGGTCATCCCCCACGGAGCCGCTGTGAGGAAGTGTAGGAAAGAGACATTGTCAAGTGAGGCTTCCTTTGGGATTTTGGCTGCCCCCCTGCCCTCCCCAGCTCAGCACATCAGCTGTAATAAATCCCAGCTTTCTGCTGACAGGGAGGGGCTCAGTGAGGCGCAGGGAGGCTGAAGGAGATGCTTCACGCAGTGAGAAAGGGTGAGCACATGGTCTGGGTACTTTGGAAGGCAAAGGGGCAGAGTTTCCTCAGCTCTGAGGGGCTGTGAGCTGACACAGAGTGAATCTGGAGCATTGCCCATGGCTGAGGATGGCTCAGGAGAGAGTCCTGCACAAACTGTGGTGGCTGGGGACCTTCAACAAATTTTTTAAAATAATTTCAACAATTTTTTTTCAACATTTTAAAAATTAATATTTTTTTTTAAGTCTACTAAACAACATGAACAACACAAAGGCATCCTCCAGATCCCAGTTTCTCCTTATTTTGGCTTAAAGTCAGCTCTGTAGAGAATATCCTGAAGTTCATTTGCAGCATCCAGGCCTCTCCTGAGGCAGCTCTTGAATTCCCTTTTGGCTCCTTTCTGTCAATGGGGACTGGTGCCATGGGAGGACTGGGAGAGCTGGGCAGCCCTCAGGGGCTTTGTTCTTGGTCTGTTACTGAAAATCCAGACTCATCTCTCAAGATTTACTCTTCAAGGTCCCAGCTGTTTTCCCCGCAGCCACCCTGGGCTGGGCTGTCCCTTCTGTGCTGTCCCAGGGGAGGTGGCACTTCTTGCTGGAGCTGGATGTGGGATGTCAGCAGCAAAAGGAACCTCAGTGAGTCCCAGACAGTCCTGAAATGCAGCCCTGCAGAGAACAACCCATAGCCATGAATGCTGTGTGGTTTGCTGATAACAGATTTGTCCTGCTCTGTGTTTGAGGTCTGGCTGAATGCACCCCCAAGGGCAGTTTGCCGTGGTCACAGTGGAGTTCTTCACATGTTCTCCCATCCTGAGGCTCCCAGGGAAGCCCAGTGTCCCTCTCAGGGGTGGGCAGAGGCAGCCTGGCCTGAGGCATTGGTGCTGCTGCCTCTGCCCACACCACAAACGCGAAGGTGGCCCCAGGACAGAAAGCGGGCTCACACAGGGAGGGGAACGTCCTGGGATGTGCCAGCTCCTTCCCAGGGAGGTGGGAAAGGGTAAGTGGCCTTGGCAAGGACCATCTGTGACATCCAGGAGAGGCAGGCTGTCACCCATGGCAGGGCACTGCCCTGTGCCAAGGGCCAGCCTGGAGAGATGAGGCTGATATTGCCTGGCATCCTGGTGAGCTGCAGGGGTGGATTATCCTGTTCTGATATCCAGGGATGGATTATCTGGTTCTGCTCTCCAGGGATGGATTATCAGGTTCTGTTCCACAGGGATGGATTATCCACTTCCCTTTTGCAGGGATGGATTATCCAGTTCCCTTCTGCAGGGATGGATTATCTGGTTCAGTTTTACAGGGATTGATTATCCCAGTTCTGTTCCCCAGGGAT